AGTTTATTAGCTATTGAATTACAGTTGAAACCATTGGATATTGCAGCTCCTCTCAATATTAATAAGCGCAAAAACCTAAACCTACAATTTCCTGTCGCTTCAAAAAGAGGGTTTTGGTAAATGTCAGTCATTCCATAACATTGTCGGAAACAATGTTTTAAATGATGCTTTAGATTTATCTTGCTTGAAGGTTGAAGAAAGTGTGCAGAAAGCTGGGTAAGTGGAGCCTCTTTCCTTCTCACCCACCCACCCACAGAGTTTTATCACTTCTGGTTAACCTGTACATAGTTAACTTCCCTAATTTATATTTTTTCAACACTAACCTCTACCACTCCCAGTTTTTTGGAACTAATTTCATGTAACAGAATATCRTGAAGTTGCTCTTCTTCTACAGTTCTCAAAATAAGGAGTTTGCTCTTTCGTTGCTTCAAGACTTCAATTATGGCCTTTCCGTCACATTCATTGACGAATTCTATCTTTGCCAGTGCGTGATACTGGYGCGAAACAACGGGAAATTGTCCAGAGTAGTATACAATCATCTGACCTCTTGAATCTAGGTGACCAGTGCCAACAAAATCATGACAAACGGGAGGATCCAATACCTGAACAGCATAATAAAAAGAAGCCAGAACATGCGTTTTTAATTGAAAAGAACACCACTTTTTTGGTTGTTTTTTTAAAAGCTACTTACCGCCCCTATAGCACAGAGGATGGCGTTCCTCATAATYGATCCCAGGTCGAAGAGGAATTCCGTGGATGTGGCCCAAGGATCCATACAAGTTGTTTTGATGTACTTGACTCCAGTYGTATCATAAGGATCAACCTTTAAAAACATATCTCCTTGTATTYAAAAGTTGATCAAAATTGGGAAAACATTATGCTCAAGCTAAAGAGGTCTAACACACTTTACTAAAGTGTAAGTTATAACTTACCCCTAATCTTTTCTTAAATTGCTTCAGTGCTGTGCTATGATAATGGTGCTGGTACGTGGATGACGTCACAATCATTGGAAATCTGTAACTACTAACTCTGTCATCAGACATCGAGAGATCTTTATAGAGCACTTCAACTATCTTGTTTAAAAGGTTGACATCTGTGTTGCCTTTGAGATTCAATGAGAAACATGGCACCATTGTGTCAGGACCAATCTCACGAAGATACTCCATCACTTCATGGTTCTGAAAAAGAATTCCAAGAATGGTTGAAATAATCAGAAAAACTAATGCAGACAGATTTCAACATTTYGATGACATCCTATCATCATTATCAAGAAACTAACKGAAAAAAGTAGTTTCTTGATAATGATGACAGGATGTCATCGAAACGTGGAAATCTATCTGCGCTTTTCTGAAGTCAATCTTATATGATTGAAATAGTTTTTCTCAATTCTCATGGTGCTTAGTATGCTTGGAGACCTTGGAGATTACRCAGTAATTCAGTTGTCCCCCATAGCTACATACCTGGACAAGTTCCTCATTACTTTTACCAATGATGTTCTTCTTTATGTATCTGATGTGTTGTTCRGGACTGCGGTCAGGTGGTAAAGGTTTTGTAGGTATCAAGATGAAGGGGTCATCACTGTCAGCAAGTGCAGTCCAGTAGCAATAGAGTAGCTTAGAAGTGAACATGCATTCACCAAGAATCCTTCCATAACCATTCTTATGCAAACCAATAATCTAAAGACGAGAAAAGTACAGGTTAAGCATAGAAATCAACTTCATCATTACTAAGCAATATCGGAGGGGACGTAAAGGAACCACTGAGGACGTAGAGAAACCCTGGCAGTGACCATCCTCAGTGACCATCCTCAGTGCCTACACCTGATACTAACCACCTCCCATGCATAACTCWTTGTAAAGTGCCTTTGATCATATCCATATGAAAAAGAGTGCTATATTAAATCTTATACAATAACTGTTATGAATGTCACGTTCTGATTGCCTTGGAGCGTGTGCTTTATGAGAGCACATTGCACACGAGCGCACTTTCCATTGCGTCATTCCTATCTAAAATAACGGTTATTGTAATTTGTATTTCATAAAAGAAATAAAAAACTTGCTYGCTGTGCTGTATGCCGTTATAAAGCACTTKGGGATTGGCAGAACACTYGAGAAGTGTCCAGAAGCACTCCGCTACAGAAGCACTTCTCTCGTGTTCTGCCAACCCCCGCGTGCTTTATGACWGCACACAGCACGYGCTCGCRTTTTCTATTTCTTCAATAAATCATCAATCATCAATTAAAAAAAGATATTTCTCTTGATAGAAATATTATGTAGAAAATGGCTTACCCTGTGKGCCATCACGATACCAGCAGCGGCTGCCCCAGGTTTTGATCCTTCAATGCCAACATCTCCAAGGTTTAGAGCTCCGTGATAATAAACAGCCTGATGGCTGATGTTCAAAAACTCATTCATTCTCTTGTCGCGATAACAAATAGCTCCACCAGGGTAGGGACAAAAGCCAGTTTTGTGAGGATCAACAGTGATGGTATCAACATTTGAAATGGCAGCGAGCTGAGCACCAGTGTAACTCCCAAGACTTAATTCGGGCACAAACCATGAAGAATTGTCACGTTTGTGGGGTTGTAATGGAGTTGATGGTGTTCGTAACATGGAACAGAAGTAACCACCCCAGGCCCCATCTGCATGAATCATGAAGTTCAAGCCCTGAAGAGAAAGGAAGGGAACACTGAAAATGAGAATGAGTGGCTTTGTTCAATGTCTTAAAAAACAACAGCAAGACTTACCCTTCGTCTCATCTCTTCTTGAACCTCAAGTACCTCAGTGAGGGGATCTACTGCACTCTGTTCCGTTGTACCCATCACCACTATCACGCTAATGACTGGAACTTTTTTGACCAGTTTGTCTTCCAGAATGTCACGCAAACCTAATCAAATTTAAATGAAGACAYATGTGACTTTTAGATTAAAAACAAATACTGTTATTCCTTCTTCAAGTTTAAGCTCAGTGGYGTGGGAAAGTTATTTAACATCACAACGTGCATTCTGTCGCATCCCCCAACATCTCTGGGACTCTCTGCTACGTCCTGACTTTATTCAATCTATGGGGAGATAACAACCGAGGTAGCTACTGAACCAAAGGCGTTATCATATTACACTTAAACTAAGCAGATTTCTGATGAGTGACAGACATTCTGTGCCTTGCCTCGAATGTTTGTCATTATTAACCATCATAAAGTACAATAATTCTCATAGTATCAGAATAACATTTATATTATAGTATCATAGTAACAAACAATGACTCAACCTTTGATGTCCATTCTAGCGTTTTCGTCCACGGGTACCAGTACTAGGTTWTTTTTTCCCATTCCCAGTATAGTTGCTCCTTTGAAAAGGGAAATGTGAGCAGTGGAAGGAGCAAGAAAGCAGGAGCTGCCTATTAAATTATGCCGTTGACAAAACTCGTGTCCAATGCATTCAAACGAGTAGTTGGTCATTATTGAAGTCAGTTCCATCAAGGTGATACCTGCCATTTTGGCTACCTATGTGATGAATGTGAAAGTTCATCAATCAAATGTGTTTCAGGATACTTGCTCAAAGGTTAGTACTATTTACTTGACCAACAGAGCCACTTAACATTTGCAGTTCTAAGAACCTGAGTATTGATCTGGCAATGCAAGGGACTGATTAACTGAAACTATGACCTCCAGCTCAACAGGCGGCAATGTTCAAACTCTAACCAACTCACCAACTCAGGGTCACTGGTGGTTGGCAAAGATGTATAAACGAATGAATAGAGAATCCTTGATGGGTGGATAAATGGATGAAATAAAAAATTTCTTTCTTGGGGAGTCAGAAGGCCATGGTGGCAAAACGTTCGCCTCTCACCTCTGCACTAGAGATCTCTGTAGTCCTCTGGTTAGGGCTGTGCTCAAGGGTCATGTATAGACTTATAGCGGCTGCCGCAGGGGTGCCTTCACATTGTTCAGTTCAGTTTGACCCCATTGAGCTGCACCACTATCTTATACTTGCGGTAATGATTGCCGATAAACACGTTTTTTTGGAAAATAAAAATAATAATCCAGCACAATATACTTCGTTCATACCTTTTCGGGTAGTTGTAAAATTTCATCTATATCCAGATTTAATAAGTCCCATTTTGCTGCATCCAYGATCCTCAGTTCTTTGTTCTTGTACGGTAAAATCAGCATATAATCCTTGGCTTTGGATAGAGCCTCTTCATTTTTGATAGCATCCTGAAGGCCGACAGGATAGTACTTGATATTGCGGGCAGCCCACATAGCCTCTATATTAGCCACGGTACCACCAGTAACAATATGGCCCATGGATTTATCAGGATCAAATCCAACCATTTCGCAAAGATCCTTACCCACTTCTACTTCATACTTGGTAGTCACCGTAGAGGCTTCAGAAGCGCAGTTGTTTTGGTTAAACAACATTGCAGTGATGTAACCGAGATTGGCGGGCATGACGGTATCCCATATGACGTGACCCTGGAATAAGATAATAATTCCTTATTAAATCTACTTATTGCTATTCTGCTGCACACAACACGAAAGAACAGTCAATACCAAGTGTCTCTTTAAAGCTTATAAAGGCGCAGCCTGCCTGATTACCCAAAAGGCAAACCATATCTTACTGAACGAAAATGATGGCAAGTGAAATTTATTGCAAAATTTCTTTGTTCCCCAAAAATAAGTGRTATTTCGAGGACCGTTCGGAGGCAGCATCTACATTGCAGAGATTACGGAGAGAGAAGTCTAAGAAGGTGGCATGAATGAATGAAAGAGAAAGGGATTCCCGTTGTTTTTTAATCCTTTCCCTTACTAAAACARCACTGACACACTTTGAATTATACCTTATAACGGGAACTAAAAAATGGCACAGCCTTGTAGAAGTCTTTTTGCATGTTTCGCAATTCGTCGGTCGTTTTCTTGATAGTCTCCTGAAAGGATTCTGATTGACGCATGTCATCCGTCACGTAGTAAGGATCACACGGATAGTAGCTAAAAAAAAGAGAATTGCATTTTCAAAAATGATGTTGGTAATATTTGGTAAGACGTTTTCATGATATTTTGCTTATCAAAACACTATAATGACGTCATCACGATGAGCGCGCGCTCACTTAATTCAACCAACAATGCCCATGAACGTCCTTAAATAAGAAGTCTATTTTGTCGAAGTGAAGAAGGTCAATAAGACCATAGTTAATAGAGCAAAGAGTATGTTAGAAAAAATAAGGTTATCGGCGTATTTCTTCCGTCTCTGGAACTGAGAACTTTTTTTAATGTTAAGGAGGTAAGCTTAAAGYTGTCAAACAATATTCAGGTCCCAAGCTTTCTCATGGCCGTAGTAAACGCCAAGCACCTTACGTGACTGACCATTAACCCATAAACAAACTGTTAGAAACCTTACTGTAATTATTTATTGCAAGATCATTGCATTTGCCGTARGTAACATAAAGCGAAATTAGTTTTTTCCTTCCCAGAGGTAGGAAAGCTAATTATATGCATGTTGCTTTCATTGCTTGTATCAAGAAAGTGATTTTTGAAGATCGTATCGTAAAGATAAACAAACATGGCCGCGTGGACGTCTTCGTGCTCCTTTGTTTCAGGCTGTGGTCACTCACGAAAATGAAATAGATTTAAGACCAGTTGCTAAAAGCATATTAAATATTAATTATTTCTAGCGTGGATCTGTAGGTTGGATATTTGCAGTACATTACCTTCTCCTGAAATCAATGTGGTTGTCTATTGCCTCGACTGCAAGCTTCCTGAAGATTTCTGCATTGTCGGCCTTGGGACCTAAAAACCATGCTCCAGTTTTGGCCCAAGGTTTAGATGTATCCTCATATCGGTCAAAATTAGGCCTTCGAGGCTGGTACATCGAAACTTTGCCTTTTATCACACCAGTCTTGCGATACATGTTAATTYAAATGCACAATCTACAAAAAGCCAATAAGATTGCAGTAATATCAAATAAGTCAGTCTGGCCATTTTAAAGGTGTGAAAACTCTATTGTTAGGGCTCAAAATGGTTCAATTGAAGRGTAACTTCATCTACGATATCTTCTTCTGCGACCTACCTTGCTTCTTTAATAAAGTTTTCGGACCATCCGTAGCTGCACTCTTAAATAGGTTCGGTAATTTCAAGGTCAATTCAGCTCGAATGGCCAGCTACTTAATGCATCGATACACATGCAGTTTTACATGCATAATAGTAACGTATGGATGTAAAAAAACACGTCTGGRAGAGGATTAGGTTAGTCACGGTAAATTTAGGTCATTTATTGAACTGACGTCATGATTTCTTCCTGTTTAATCACGATCAACAGGATTTTAATTAGCTCTATCAATTGACGCCATTTCCGGTTTCGTGTGGAATTTGTACCAGTTGAACTCAAGGTTTCGGTAGAAATGTACAAAGATGAAGGAGGCCTAGGAGAGCCAAGTTTCCCTTTCGCTGAAGACTGTCATACAGTAATGGATTTTTTTGGTTTCCTTGGTTTCCGGGTATTGAGATTGGGTAGTATGTGTTTTCTMGCTTATTGATTGGTTATTGGTCTTCATTGGTGCTCGTGACAGTCACGGTATAAAAGAGGAGTGAAATGGCACGCCAAGGGTAACCAATCAAATACGAAAGTCAAGGTCAACGGCTTAATTTAAAATGTCGTAATGCCACTGTAGGGTAGGAAAGAAAGCCATCCTCCAGCTAAGACAAAATATATGTYGCCAACCTTTTTATTCCGATACTCACAGGCACACGAAAACCCGACAGCTGGAAATCTGAGCCTATAGAAAGGGTGATGATCTGRCCGAGTGACAGATCTAGGACTGTTGCAACTTTCTTTTCAAAATGTGGTCAAATTTGTTATTATTCGAGATTGGTGTAGAGGTTTTGCCGGGTTGAAAACATTTTAGTTGATACATTAGATGTAAGATATAACACAATGTCCCTTTTAGTGCTCAATTCTCTTTGTTACTTTATTTCGTCTAATATAATTTTGCTCTAAATAATGTTGGTATTTAGATTGAATGCCTTTTGAAGAAGGCTTATGTTACAGTAAAATATGCTTTTTTCTTTGATGGTTATACCTTAAATCCAGTTCGTTAATAATTTTAAATTGCAAATTACCCGTTTAATTTGACGTTATCATATTATTACATTCCTAAGATTTTAAATTTTATTCCCTCATYTAAATACTGTAAATATTAATGAGGCTAATACCCATTACTCTTTGCAGTTGCGTTTTTTTGACAACTGTTACTTAAAGTTTTTTATTTRAAGTCAGTATGACATTGAGCTTTAACGTACAGATGCACTTGAACTATTTATTCAGTGGACTGTTTCTTCCCAGCATTTAGTTCATAGCAGACTTCTTCCAACACTGTAAAAGRTAAAGGATAAACATACATAACTAAAAATGAAGTGTTTGTACCCGAGAGCAGATGTACTGCTTAGAAGCCAGCATATAAAAATGACACTGAGACAAATTATATATATCATATACTTATTCAACTCCACAACCCCTTGACCATCAAGTAGTCTTCCAGGAAGTCGCCAGTGCGCCTTTTGCCACGTATGCCATGCCGTATATAAAACAAGGTCAATAGGTCCTTCCAGAGAAGCTATTATCCCCGTAAGAATTAGCTCTAAATGATTGAAACTTTTGGTGAATATAGTGCGCTATATGTCCATTAAAGGTTTCAGTCATTTTTAGGTAATTCTCACCGAGATATTCTCTATTTGATAATTTGACTTTTTACAAGGATCCTGGGTTGACGTCATCATTTCGTGATTTCTACTTGAATATCTCGGCAACGAAAAGAGATATCAAAAAGAAAGTAGGGGCCATTCTTATYTATTTTATAAGGRCTTTGAARTCAGGAAGAGATCCTGTAGGCTTGATAGRCACTTAAAAGGGTTGCCCCTTTTCAGACGAATATCGTTCGAATAGTTTGTAATCGATTACCAAGACAAATTTATTGGCATGAAGGTCCTTGAAATACAGATATTTATATTTTATAATCTRTTCAAGTAAAATACACTGAAATACCTCGTGATTAAGAAAGTCCATTTACTGATTATTAATAACATCAGAGTCAAACCAGATTTTTCTKCCAATCTTAATAGTGGYCCTTWGCTCTTCTGCATCCTCCCCTATGAAGGACACAAYGTATGAACTTTCCGTCAAGGGGTCATCAATCTCGCCACCACTGCGCCTTTCTTGGGGGATTCCAACGATCTCGATTTCAATTCCATAATTGAGAAGAAGCTTGGAAATTCCCTCAGGTATGCTCTCAAGCTCAACCARCTAACGAAACAAAATGGACAGAACGAGTATATTAGTTGATTTTTGAATTACATGGCTTAGAAAGGCATATAGAAACATACTTGCTCGAAGTCTGGCTTTTTGGTTGGAATATGAGAGATGTAGGCCTTTTCTTGATTACCGTAGAGGAAATAGTTGGTCTTGTCAGGATTCATGCGCACGACACTTGGATCAAAGTGATCCAACCTGGACACGTCCACAACCCTGATCTTGGTTCTCATGAAAGGCCTGTTGTCTCCAGTTGGGATACCAGAGTAGCAGTCCATCTAATCAATAAAAAACGTATGTATATTGCCTTCTATAAAGATTGGGGGCAATTATTTTGTCTTGGCTGTAGGATGGTTTTTTTCTCCATGKGATGTAAATAAATATGATTATTTGACTACCTCAATTTCAGGCTCTTTTCTGCCCTCATCTCCCTCGTCGTAATCATACAACAGCAGATCGTGAAGTCGATTTGGTTTCACATTACGCAACACCAAAGGTTCTGTTCCCCTTCTTGCAGCACCGTGAGAAGCCTTTTCTCCATCAGCAGGATTCAGAAACTGGACCTTTGCCATTGCAAAGTATTGGTGAGAGACATTGTTAAACCTTCCCGAATAGTTCACAATCATGTTGTTCTTCCCATCGACCTTACCAGTGGAGACAAAGTCATGAAAGTCATTTGGATCAGTAGCCTGAGAAGAAATATAAGAGAATTAATTAAATAATTAAATTACAAAATCATCAATGATAGACTGTTCAATGGTTAAAATAATGCAAGGAAATTTAGGGTAAGAATGAGGTTGTTGGTGTCGGTTAACCTTACCGTCCCAATGGAACAGAGAATGGCGTTCCTCATAATTGATGCCAATTCTTCCAGRAATTCCATGGTCGTAGCCCAGGGATCCATGCAGGTAGTGATGATGTACTTGACTCCAGTTGTGTCGTAYGGGTCGATCTGTAATGAAATGAGAATAAAGGGGTTTTATTGACATCCACGTTGCAGGGCAAAATCAATAACTAAAATTCTCCTTTAGGAAATTAATCTCCTTTKATGCAAAAACATTGCATTCTTCCAATCCTGTTCTACAAGGCTGTTGAGAAACCACTTCACTGCAAATAACCAGTTGAGATGGTATCGTTACTAGAATGAAATTGTTTTTACGATGCAATTGATCACTCACCCCCAGTCTTTTCTTGAATTCTTTCAGCGCAGTACTATGAGGATGTTGGGCATATGTAGATGCAGTTATAAGCATTGGGTATCTAAAAGAAGCGACCTTGTCATCAGACATGCAAAGATCTCTGAAGATGGCTTGAACGATGTCGTTGACCAGATTAATGTCACTGTTGCCCTTGACATTAACTGCGAAACAAGGCATCATGGTATCTGGGCCAACTTCTCGAAGATACTCCATCACTTCTTCATTCTAAAGAGAATATAAACTTTGTCAGATTGCAATGATACGCAATGGAAATAACTTTATTTGAAACTCACCTCTGCCAGTTCCTCGTTGGTTTTTCCAATGATGTTTGTCTTAATGAATSTAATGTGCTCTTCAGGTGTTTTGTCAGAAGGAAACGGTTTGGTCATTACCACGGAAAATGGATCGTCCATCCTGGCAAGAGCTGCTAAGTAACAGTACAGCAGCTTAGAAGTAAACATGCATTCTCCAAGGATCCTTCCGTAGCCATTCTTATGAAGGCCTATTACCTGCACAGAACAAATCAATAAATCCAATRATCAGGATCCGGATTAACTGAATACTTAATGCTTCTTTTTGTCCTCTCCTTCTTTTCTCCCTTTCTTTTGTCTCTTTTCATTTTTCTTAGTCCTCTTCTTTAATTTCCCCGTTACGTATACATTTGAAACGGAAGGCAAATGGAAGTACTCATATAATATRCTTACCCTGTGTGCCATTGCGACTGCAACAGCAGCTGCTCCAGGTTTTGATCCTTCAATACCAACATCTCCAAGGTTTAAGGCACCATGGTAATAGGTAACCTGGTTAGTGATTCCTAAGAAACTGTTGATCCTCTTGTCACGATAACAGGTAGCACCTGCGGGGTAGGGACAGAAACCACTTTTATGTGGATCAATGGTGATGGTATCGACGTTTGCTATTGCAGCATACTGAGCACGAGAATAGGAATTGAGGGTCAGTTCGGGGACGAACCAAGAAGTTTCCTCACTCGTTTGAACCAATGGAGTTGGTGGAGTACGTAACATGGTRCAGAAGTATCCTCCCCATGCTCCATCAACATGAATCATGAAGTCCAACCCCTATCAAGAAAAGGTGAAAGGCAAATTACAATCGTCACACTGGATAAGCAGGCAATTAACGGACAACTCACTCTTGTTCTCATTTCTTCCCGGATCTCAAGAATGTCTACGAGGGGGTCTACAGCACTCTCTTCAGTGGTACCCATCACTGCTACCACGCTGACGACAGGTATTTGATTTGCAAGCTTGTCTTCCAGGATGTCTCGCAAACCTGCAACAAAAAGATAAGAYAATCTAAATGCAATTTATGTTTCCGCAGATTCAAGGAAGAATTAAAATGACTGACCTTTGGGGTCCATTCTAGCATCCTCATYCGCAGGAACCATGACCAGATTCTCTCTTCCAATACCAGTTATCGTGGCTCCTTTGAAGATAGAAATGTGAGCTGTGGTAGGTGCAAGTGCGCAAGGATTATTCTTGAGATTATGTCGCTGRCAAAACTCTTGAATACCAATGCAGTCGAATGTATATTTTTTCAAAATCCCACTCACTTCTGTGTCGCTTAATGCACACGCRGTAGCCACCTACAAAATAAAAAATTAGCAGTTAATAAATCATATTTCAAAACTGAATGATTTGCATATGAATCTTTACAAGCAATTTGAATTCTCACTAAACACCAACCTTTTGAGGCAGTTCGATGATCACATCTGTTTTCAGATTCAGAAGTTCCCAGCTCGTTGCATCCACAATCTTCACGTCTTGTTTCTTTGATGGTAGATAAACAGTAAGTTCTCTTGCGCTAGCAAGAGCATCTTCTTTCAAGATTGCTTCTTGAAGACCTAAAGCATAGTACTTGACGTTGCGAGCAACCCACATAGACTCGATGTTCGCCACAGAACCTCCAGTGACAAGATGACCTCCAGCCTTGTCAGGATCGAAGCCAACCATCTTGCAAAGATCCATGCCCACTTCTACTTCAAACCTTGTGGTGACGGTAGATGCTTCTGCGGTGCAATTGTTTTGATTGAACAAAAAAGCCGTCAGGTAACCAAGATTGGCAGGCATGTTAGTATCCCATATGACATGACCCTGGAACAGAAATAAATCATACATTTGATAATTCTATACAATTTTTGTTTTTATTGATGATTTTCTCATTAACAAACAGCTTTTTCCGTGCTCCGTTCAGTAATAAAGAGCGCAGRAAGTGACGTAAGCACGAAAGGATTGTAAGGAGAAACACGAACCGTGGGCGAGTGCTTCTCACACTTCTTGAGTGCTTACGGCGCTCCCTAAGTGCTTTATTAYTGAATGCGCATGCAAAAAGAAAAACAGTCGCAGGATCTAGCAGCACTTTGCGCTCGCGGAAGGCGTCAGCACTGTGCTCCGTTCACTAATAAAGCACAGTTTTCGACCAATCAGCGCGCGTACTATCCTAACTATATAATAATTTGTGTTTATTGATGATTTTCTCATACCTTGTAACGAGAGCTGAAGAAAGGAACTACTTTGAGGAGCTCCTTTTTCACATTCTCCAACTCATCCTTGGTCTTCTGCAATGCTTCTTGGAATGATTCTGCTTCGCGCATTTCATCTGTGACGAAGGGTGGGTCACAGGGAAAATAACTAAACGATGAAAAGAGTTTTCTGTAGTTTGTTACATTTTTCCTTACAATATTTTTTTAATAACAAGCGCTTACCCTTTTCTGAACTGGATATTTGTTTCTATGGCTTGAGCCACGGTTTCCATAAAAAAGTCAGCGTTATCTGCTTTTGGTCCCAGAAACCACGCTCCAGTTTTCGCCCATGGCTTGCTTAGGGCTTCAGCACTGTCGAAGTTTGGTCTACGATGCTGGTACATGTTTCTTTTAACCCTTCCTCCACCACTTTTGCTGTGGCGATACATTTTTGCCAACTTGATTTAACTAGCGCGATAAAATCAACTTTAGGTGGTTTTGTAGAGTATCTAACTTTTAATAAAAGCTTTAGAGGAGCAAACCTGACCAAGAATACAATACAACCTGCAACACCAAGAAACCTGAGCAAGAATACAATACATCCTGCAACACCAAGAAACCTGANCAAGAATACAATACATCCTGCAACACCAAGAAACCTGACCAAGAATACAATACATCCTGCAACACTAAGAAACCTGACCAAGAATACAATACATCCTSCAGCACCAATAAACCTGAGCAASAATACAATACATTTAACACCAAGAAACCAAGAATAAAGTCATTACATCCACTAACAATAAGAAACCCGGGTAATATAAATCCGACACCAAATATCGGATTATCAGTTTTACCAAATGAACTTTCTAAAAAGGGATGCAAAAAATAAAAAGCTAGCCACCACCCCAGTGACTTGAAAGAGACGAATGTAAAATGTTTTCTAAATAAAGCCAACTATTTCGTTCAATCGAGCATACCTTCAAATCCAAGAGCTTGTGAGACGAGTAGCGAAAACACCAAAAATATCCAAATGCTATAAGGGTTAAACCTTTATTTCCTAAGCATTTTTTATAATTGGCTGATTAATATTWATATTAGACGCCCATCTTTTATTTGATGAGTTTGGGTCTAGTCACGATTGATGCATCATGCTTGGTGCGACACACATATGTAGTTCGTTTAGGCTGATTTTCTCACATAGAGCATATATGCATTCTCTTGAATATTATTTCATTCTTTCATGGTAACCTTAAGAAAGCACATATTCACAAATATAACTCGAGCATAAATTTCGGCATTATCAAAAAGACAATTAGCGAAATTAAATAACAAAAGAAATTTGACCTCCCCCCCTAGCTCGTCGGACAATGCAGACGGTTCTGATCAAAGTGTGCTAATCTTTTTTCAATTATRAGTTTAATTTTTAATATAAAAGCAACAAGGTGTGTATTAGCTTAACTTTGGTCCGAAGTCAGAAGACCTTCGTAATAGTTTGTCGGAAGAATAATTGAATAGGTAAAAGGAAAAAAAAGATATACAAAGAACATGGGGAGGAACTTGAGAAGGGCGTCACAGTAGGACRTATAGCACATTATTAAACATAGAAGATAAGCTATTATACCAACCTAGTAAAAGGTTAAAACAATTTGTTTAGGTCACGTAGCGTTTTGCGATGACTAGAATATTGATATTTTTAAAGTGATATTCTTAATGGCCACAAGGAATATGGTCGCTGAAAGACACTTAATATTTTTCTTATTTCAAACCTGGCAATACCATTCTTAGATTAAAGTCCGCTTTACAACATTTTCTCAAGCGCTGTAAGAAAATATTTGGTATATAATGTGAAAGCRAAGTTTAAAGCTAAAATGTTATTGAAATCCACGAAGAAAAACTAAATTTTTAAAACGTAAGAAAAAGACGACGTTTCGACACGGCAACGCGTCATTACCAATTCAATTATAGGAAGGCCTGGCAATCGTATTCCGTAGATTCCCGGTTATAGAAGTCCTGGTTTTATATTCATTCGTAAGGGTTTTTTGATGGGCTCATAACCGGGGCATAGAAAAAGAGTTTGGGATGAAGAAGAAACGGCTGTTCCTTTCTCTTATCCGCCCAGTCAATCTCTTATGTTTCATCCTAACGAAATAAACACGGGATTCCAGAGGCGGGCAGCAGGGGGAAAGCTTAATCTGGAAGRATGTGTTAGAAGACAAGAGGGCTTATAAACGGGCGGGCTTAAAATCGGAAGGGGGGGAGGGGGTAGGGGGAATTTGTTAGGATATACAAAACGACGAAACTCTAGTTATAAGGTATTAAAAACCCTGAGAGTGCACAATAAAAAAAATAAGACTTAAGCAAATGTCATGGTCTCTTAAACGGGAATCATTTCGCCAAAAGATCCATTATTAGAACTACCATTTCAATAATAAATATTTCGACAGAAAAAAGAAAATAGTCATCGTTAATGTCTTCATTTATTCCTTTATTCTATCGTAGAGTTTACAAGCCTAATTTTGCTTTAAGCCTAATTTTGCTTTAATATATTTCTGTTTACACAATGATAGTTATCGTT